TCAAAGCGCTCCATGGCATCGGACCTGGATATCTCCGAGACCGCCTTCTGCCTCAGAGTGCCTCCCATCGGCCGGTACGCTCCCACAGAGTGGGTCTCCTCAGGGTGCCGTCAGCCAGACAGTGCCGGCTGGCGACTCCCAGGGGGAGGGCCTTCTCGGTGGGAGCTCCCACCCTCTGGAATGAACTACCCCCAGAGATTCGGGTGATCCCGGATCTCCCTTCCTTCCGCTGCGCCCTTAAGACATGGCTATTTCAACAAGCAGGACTGGCCTAGGGGGAGATTTTTAGCGGGGTTTTAAAAACAATTTTAAATTGATACAGGCCAAATCTAATATTTCATTTTAATTATGTTTTTAAATTGGGGTATTTTTGTATTTGTTTTTTATCAGACTGTCAGCCGCCCTGAGTCCGTAAGGAGAAGGGCGGGGTAAAAATTCAATTAAATAAATAAAAATAAATAAAATAAATAAATCAGTGGATTCTCCATCCTCATGCTGGAGAAGGGGCGTTGTCTTACCTGAACGCCTTTTCTCAGCATGACGATGGAGAATCCACCCCCACCCCCTTAGTGTCTGTCAGGACCTGTGTTCGGGGTATCAGGAACCAACGTGTCAGACTACAGTTTGCTGCTTTGCCTTCGTTGTAACTGGAGAATAATACTCCAGCAGGAGGCGTGGCAACTTGTCAGTCTATTGGGCAGCAAGATGAAGTAAACCCATCAGTGGATTCTCCATTGTCATGCTGAGAAAAGGTGTTCAGGTAAGACAACGCCCCTTTCTTACCGATTCCTGCCGATTCTTTATAGCAATGTTTCTTCTTCCAAGGAACCCCAAGATCATCTCAGCAGTCTGCAAAATCAAAATTGTTATAGATATAGATAGTCCTTAACTTACAACAGTTTGTTTAGTGACCATTCAAAGTTTACAACATCACTGAAAAAAGTGACCTTTTAGAACTACAACCATTGCATGGACATGTGATCAAAATTCAAACACTTGGCAATTGATTTTTATTTATGATGGTTGTAGTGTCCCAGAGTTATATGATCCCTTTTTGCGACCTTCTGACAAGCAAAGTCAATGGGGAAACCAAATTCATTTAACAACCATGTTACTAATTTAACAATTGCAGTGATTCACTTAACTGTGGCAAGAAAAGTCATAAAATGGGGCAAAGCTCACTTAACAACTGTCTTGCTTAGCAACAAAAATTTTGGGCTCAACTATGATCATAAGTCGAGGACTACCTGTGCTTACAAAAATTTAAAACAATGTCATTTTTCTCCTTATTTTTTATGGGTTAAAATATAGTTTTTTCATGAAAAATGTTGTCTTTATGTTAATATCTAACATGTTTAATATTAATTTAGCAGATTCAATAAATACTCAGTATCATTTTTAATTTTTAATAAAGTAAATATTGATGACTGTAATCGATACCAACAAAATTTCCATAACTTTTAACAGTGGAAAAGGGTCCTGACAGGAAAATATTAAGAAATACTGCCTTAGAGAGATCTAAGAAGGCAAAGGAGAAAAAGTAAGGAAAGGAAATGATATCATAAAGGGGATTGCAGGTTTATGCTGGTATCTTTCTAAAGGACTGTTATCAAAGAGGCATCCATCTTGGAGCTTTCTGGTAGTAAGATATGGCAGGGACCTGATTTTACCAATAATATTTTCCTGATTCATCAGCATCTAATAGAGCATTGATACTGTCTTTTGATGGTGGGCAACAATGTTGACTGGACAACTGACACCTAATTCAGTTCTCAAAAGTTGACAAAGCACTGACAATAAATGCAAATTAAATAATTAACATTTTCTCCATTTCTATGTCTTCTTAATGAGACGCTCTTCTCTCTCTCTCTCTGTCTGCCTCTCCCCCTTCTTTCTCAGTCTCCCTCCCTCTCTCCCTCCATGCTTCTGGATTATGAGCAACATTGAAATTTCCCTTCAGTAACAACTTCATAGAAGCTTCATTTTGGGACTTGTTTTAAACCAGTTCCAATCAATTTTGTTTTCTGCACACTTTCTTTGTTTTAAGGATACACTCATGTCATGCTGAATGTTATTATGGTAAACATGAGACATGGGAGAGACAGATGTGGGCGGCAAGTTGTTAGCTTTTTTGAACTTTCTACTTAAAATATACTGTGTATTTAATGCCTATGCATTAAACAAACCAAATTCTCTGCAGTGGTGATAATATACTTTGACACTGGAGAAAAAAAATAAAATTCCAGCTTTCACAGTGTGTATGTTTTTGTTTTTGTTTTATTTTTATTTAACTGAAATAACAAGTAGATCTGGAGAACTCCTTGATAGGAAGCAGAAACCAGGCAGAGCTACCCAGATAAGAAAGGCCAGGAGTGTGTCTTTGTTTGGGGGAATAAATAGAAAAGTTCATTAAGGATGACTAGTAAAGAAGGAACACAGCTTAGGAACATATGGGAAATCAGTTTACTTCAGAGGACTGAGGGTGAAAGGAAGAGAGGACTGCTTTTTATTACAACCTGAAATACACTATAATTGGGCTGAGTTTTTACACAGATGGTTTTTCTTATGATGACAGATACGGCGTGTATATAAAGCATGTTGCAGACCTGTTTCTTGTGCTAGTATGGTACACATGTAGTACCAGTCCAAATGAAGATACCTAGTAGCCAGAATGGGACAACAGCATTTGAGAAGTTACTGCTGGTCAAATAAAAATGTATCATCTCACTTCATAACAAAGAGGAGAAAGTATTAAAGTGTCCTTTTAGAAATGTATTTATGTATGTATAATCATAATTGAGTAGCATCTTGAATCTTCTATTTTTACATCAATTTCCCAATTATTTTTAGTGTACCTAAACTAAAAGTACACATCTTATTGGTCAGAGATATCAATTCATGATGCCAGAATATTCACATATTTTAACTGTAGCAATTGATTGTTGTTTTGATTATGTATGCACTTTGGGAATTGAAGTATATAGTTGTATTTCTGTGCCATAATGTAGAACTTGGTATGTGCCACAAAATGTAAATTGAGCTTCATTCTCTTTTTTTGGAGGGGGGAATTACTCTGCTGTGTATCACTCTTTCACCAAGAAAAAATGATTTATAGAATCTTCTTGGGTATATCAAAGTTTCTTTGATCAGATGAAACTTTTCTTAAATTTGAAAGACTTAAATTTGAATTGTTGTTCAGTTGTTGCTTCTCTATGTATCTCCAAATATCTTGGCTGAGTTTAAAGCTTAGAGAATAAGGATAAATGATAAAAATGTAGTTCCTTGTTGTCTCAACAGATGGCAGAACTTGGCTAGTCTTATTTGAGTTGAGATACTAAGCAGAATAGAAATTTAATGAAGATCCTCCAAGGAATAGCAGGGCCATAGACTAGTTGAAAAACTTCCTCTGAAGGAAGCTGAGACAAAACTATTTCAGTCTGAAGAAAAAGAAAATGACATGGACATGTGATTGAAATCAAAAGCCTGATTTGGAGAAAACAATCTTTAGAATTTTAATCAATTTTGAAAGAAAATATTAGTGTTTTCAGCAATATATATTTATCAGTATTATCTATGTTTGTTCAATCTACAGAGCCACTTTTTTGACTAGTTTGTTATGAAAATCCAGTCCAAGTGTTAGGTTGTGGGTCAATGTTTCCTGCAAACCCCAGAAGGGTTTAATTGAGTAAGCTGTGATTAAATGAATTCTGGGTAAGCATGTTGAATGAATAAAGTGAATGGATTGACTGCATATGGGGTTTGGTCGTATAAAGGAGATCAGAGATGAACTTGAAGAAAGAATTCAACAATTACAATTATATAAACAACAGCTTACAACTGATAAGCAGTAAGGAAGCAGTAAGGAAGAAACTCAGGAGTGCCCCACTTTAGTTTTCTCTTGTATGAGAGATAGAATGTCTGATAGGCTTTCAAGTTTTATCATTTATAACAATAGAGTTACAGTAGTTCTTGTGGGGTCAGTTATCTAACATAGTCCACCTCAAAAGACAGAAAATATTCTTTTGAAATAGAAGAAATGAATTAATAAAAATGAAGTATGAAGTTATATTGTTTTCAATGCGAAAAAATTAAATTTACCTAGTTCAGATCCAGTCCATTATAAATAGCAACTTAAATAAGGTAACCTTAACTATACTGCTTCCCTTCCCATTCCTCTCTTTTCCTCCCCTTCCAAAACAGTAAGGATAAATGTAAACATGTTTTTCTTTCTTTTACAGACAACAGGAAAATCAAAGTCAATGGTACAAGAGAACCTCTTGAATTTAAATCAAATCAGTGGTTTGGAGCAACAATTAGAACTCATAAAGAAAAAGTTATAGTAAGTTTTTATATCTTGTTTTTGAACTGTATATATTTAAAGCAGGTGTGTTCATTAAAAATATTGTTATGCTGGTTCATAAAGAAGAAAACTTCAAATTGCATTACTGTATTGGCCTTTATTAGATTAGCCAAAGTGTCTTGAGATAGTCAATATAAGAGTTAGACTTAGCGCTTCAGGTATGAAGGCAAAATGAGCTTGTCTACAACCCCATAAGGAACTACATCTTTTTCCCAAGAACTGTCTTTTACAGTTATTGCCTGATCCTGGATAAAAATACACCTGGTTTTAAGGAAGACATTATATGCATATCCTTTCTTGCTCCATAGCATATATCCAAAGGAGTTCCCAACTTTAGAGAGTGTGTTCTCAAGATAGTTTCACTCTAATGGATTGTGATGGGCTATAAATTCAGTATAAATAAATAAAGGGAAATAATTATCAATCTAGATATTTTGTATCATATGTATGTGTGTGCACATGCTGTAAATGATTTTAATGATGAACCTTATTTTTGAAGGATATCCTAGGATAATTTTTATCTCTTATCAGTCAAGATAGACCACACCAGCCAACCAAAATTATCAATATTAATATTCCTTTTATTACAAGATTACAGTAACCAAATATTGCCAGTCTGAATACGCTTCCTTCTCTTTCACTTTATCTTCTTGAGAACTGCAAAGAATCATTTTTTCAGGTTCTTTCTCAAATTGCCTTTCTGCCTTAGATTCAAATTTCTTTTGTCTGACCATTATCTTAACTGTAGTTCATCCTCCCCAAAGTTATTCCTACTTTCCATTACATCCATATTCTAAATTAATTGATTTCCTAGACTAGATTTGTATTAACCTAAATGCTGTGAAATGCAACTTGGTAATAAATTGTTGTGAACTGCTACAGTAAATATACATTTCAGAGGAATATCTATGGTAAACATGCTCATGAAAGACTTGGCAGATCAAAATAAAGCATGTTTCAAGAACTTCTATATTGAAAATAAGTTAGGACAGCATTCAAAAGACTTCCAGGAGTTTAATTTCTGATATTAGAGCCTTCGATGTTTAACTCACACTAATCCCTAGATCATGGTAGTGTTGTGGAAGGAATATGGACAGATTTTATTATTTTGCTTGCTCCTCAAACTTATTTCAATCTCCAATCAGGCCTTTATAACACTTTTATACCACTGTTCTGATATATGCACCTAGTATTGGGTTTGGAATTATTCTTGAAATAGATGGAAAAATATGTGTTTATTTCTCTTTATTTCAAAGGATCAAATCATTAAATTGGATGAGAAGGAGAAATGATTCAGTGTAGAAGTGTAATATATTATCTGCATAAAGTTATTTTAATTGAATTTAGTTTTGTGTGTGAGAGAGTCATGCTTTCAAGTTAGCATTGACTCCTGGCAACTGCCTGGATAAGTCCCTGTAGTTTTCTTGGCAATATTTTTGGAAGTGGTTTGTCATTGCTTTCTCACACTTCCCCAATTTTTCATCTGTTGTTTTAACAACTGCACCAAACTGGATTTTGAATGTAAAGTAATTAAAATTATTTTTGCCCCTACTCCCTTCCACTTCTAAAGTATAGCCACCTGCCTGTTGGTAAAAAACCAACTAGAATCCTTGTTCTGGAAAAAATAAAATGCAATAAAAATTATATTTTAAATGTAGATACTAAGGAGTAAATAAACAGATTTTTTCTCAGAAAATTTTCAAGTGAAGGTGCGGACAGATAATAATAATAATAATAATAATAATAATAATAATAATAATAATAATAATAATAATAATAATAATAATAATAATAATAATAATAATAGTAAAGTTGGAAGGGACCTTGAAGGTCATCTAGTCCAACC